CACATTTATATTTAAACATACATCTTAAAAAATTCTATTAATTTTGAAATTTTCTATTCTCTGTACCCATGCATTGATTCGTGTTTTATTATAATTTATGAAAACATTTCAATTAAAAAATAATGATAGATAATAAATATAGACATTACTCTAAATTTATGTTTACTTTCAAATCGACAGGTGTGATTGGTTTCTCGTAAAGTGTAGCACAAAACTGTATTGAGTTGTGGAGTACTACACTAAATAAAACTCTCTGGAAAAAATTAAAATTTAATTTGAAATTAATAAAAAATGAATAATTTTTACAGTGAACAAGTGTGGGATTTAAATATATGTATTAGAATTCGAAAAGTTAATATTTTGTCATGGCTCCATTATTATTAATCACTTGTTGTAATCTTCTGGGAACTGAGTTAATTAAATTTAGTGACAAATTTTCATCTTCGGTCAAGCTTTCCCAGGTTTCTTTAATAATGGTCCATAAATGATCTCTGTTTTGGGGAACTACATGTAATTTTGTATTTTGTTGATCATAAGTCCCCAAACGTTCTCTATTGATTAATATCTGGACTTTTAGAGGGCCATGGAGGAGCTTCAATATTATTTTCCATAAGGTAATCCCGTATACGGTGGGCTGTGTGGATTGAACAGTTATCATGCTGGAAAATAAAATTATTGTTGGGGAAAAATTCCATAACCGATGGCAACATCACATTATCTAATATATGTAAATAGGTTTCAGTATTGAATCGTCCTTTAATTCTCCAACACATTCCTAAACCTCCTCTATACATCCAAGCCCAAACATTTATAGAGAACAGTCCGGACTTCTCACTTGATGAAATATAGTTTTCGTTAAACCTATTTCGAGGCGGTCTATAAACCATAATATGGCCATCATAATGAGACTGGAATACTTTTTCATCGGTAAAATTTAATAGTTATAGAAACATAAAAGTTTGTATTAACTTTTGCTTGCCTTGCCGAATGGAAGGGATACGCTCTTAAATAATTAGTTAATGTTTCATCTTTTTAGGCTGCAGTAATAACTGGTCTCCCACTCCCTCTCCTTCTATCCAAAGTCTGCTCGTTTTCCCATCTTTTTTTAATGTTGTGGATTGTGGTTTTGCTTCTATTTACTCTTGAGTCAGTAGTTAAATAGACTCATAGACCAACCATCTTCTATTTTTGAAATTATTCTCGTTTTATTAAACTGACTTAACTTACGTGGCATCTTTAAAAATTCACTTTGACAAACTTGTTGGCAAGCAAATATGGCAAGCAATATTTTTTATATTTAATTTTTATGTTTAATTGTTCGGTAATTGTTCATGTAATAAATAATAAATTAATTTAGGTAGTTTGCCTGTTACTAAACTTATTGGCATAACATACAGTTAACAGTTTGTGTTCTGAAAGTAATTGAAGTATAAAATTACAGTAGATGCATTCCAATGTTCCCTGTGCTAATCCGCCAAGTTTAAATATCGTTCAACATTTTGGACATTAACTCAATCCTCTTTCTGGTTATTAAATTTATTAGATAAGGTTTTTTGTTGTTAATAATAAAAATAATACCTATCTAAAAACTTATACATTTTTGAATTTTATTTTTTACGTTTTACCTTTTATTTAAATTTACTGAAATTCCGTTATCTGTGATGGCAACAACGAATTGATTCACGAACCATTGTGTCCAGTCTGAACACAAGTTTACATTGGGAAAAAAAGTGTAGCAGTTTTATATGACGGGAAGTGTACTAAGGTAAAAGTTTGCAAGGAATTATTCCTAAATACTTTGTGATATAAGAAGAATAATGATAAAATACTTCAGAACATGTTGAAGCAAAAGAGCCAAATTCCCCATGCCCCTGATAAAAGAAAAGGGAAGGAGCCCTCAAACAAAGCAAATCATGACCTAATAATAGAAGACATTAACTCTTATAAGCCTACAATCCCGCATCATCGACGAGACCATGCTCCAAATAAAAGATATCTACCAAGCGATTTGACTATCATAAAAATGCATGAAAACTTCCAAAAAAAGAACCCAAATACAAAATGTTTATATGATCTGTACAGGAGTAAAGTTGCTAAGCAAAACATTTAGTTTGTTAAACTTCGACACGAGGAGTGTGAGGTGTGTGAACATTTTAACTTATACGGTCATTCTCAGAATAATTTAAAACTCGATGATTGTGAAACATGTGTGCTTTGGAATACCCATATAACCAAGTCAAGCGATCCAACAATCCATCATAAGATTACTAAACAAATTTATTATTAAATAACATTATTTCCATCTAACAGTGAATGTGTTCTAGAGAATATCATTGTCATTATGTTAAAAAATAAAAACTTATAATAATTTAAACAAGTCATAATCTTAAAATCTGCTCTTTGGGCAAATGGGGTACCCTTTTTATCCTACCTATTGGTACCCCATTTTACCCCATCTATTGGTACGCCGTTTTACTCCATGAAAATATGTTTTCATTATGAAACATTATAACTGTTTCACTTCTGAACAAAAAGTAGAAATTGTTGCTTATCTTAGAGATATGGAAGCAAGATTATTCGGCTTGACCATGAAAGAATATAGGCAATTTACCTTTGACCTTGCTGATCAAGATTGAGCATCCCTTTAACAAAAATCATAAATTGGCTGGATAGGAATGAATGCAGAGATTTTTAAATAGGTGCAAAGAGTTGTCAGTCAGAAAGCCCGATTCTACGTCAGGTGTCCGTTTAATGGGATTTAACGAAACAAATATTCAAAGGTGGTTTCTAAAATCATAGATTCAAAAGTAAAGCGCCGAGTTGGTGCGCTTGCATCCACCGAGGGGGGTGAAACTATAACTGCAGAAATTTGTTTCTTTGCTTCAGGAGCCTACATGCCTCCCATGCTAGTATTTTCCCGAAAGCGAATGTAACAGGGATTTTTGGATTGTCTCGTGCCTGGTGGATGGATTAAGCATAACGAAAAAGGGTGAATAGATAATCTATTTTTTTTTTTCATAGTTTAAGAAGTTTGTCGAGTATTCTAGAGCTTCAAAGGATTCACCAGTTCTGCTTCTACTAGATGGTCATTACATATACAAAATCTTTCTTCTTTGTCAACCATTTTCCATCCACTCCTGAATGTAGGTCTCTCCCAATTGCTTCCATCTTTCTCTATCTTGCGCCAATCTAATCCACTGTTTGCCTGCCACTGCTCTTATGTCATCTACCCATCTTTTTTAAGGTCTTCCCATGCTTCTTGTTGTCGTCCTTGGTCTCCATTCTAGAATTCTCCGTGTCCACCTGTTGTCATTATATCGGGCTACGTGACCTGCCCAGCGCCATTTCATTTTTGTAATTTCTTCCACAATATCCCTAATCTTCGTTCTACGTCGTATCTCGGTGTTTCTAATCTTGTCTCTTAGTGATATTCCAAGCATGATTCGTTCCATTGCTCTTTGCGTTGTTTCTAATTTTTTGGCAGATTTTTTGGTAAGTGCTACTGTCTCCAAGCCGTAGGTACATACAAACAGGTAGTATGCATGTGTTATACACCTTTTTCTTTAAGTTTATAGGAATGGAGGTGTTTTTCAAGATATGTGCTAGTTTGCCGAAAGCGCCCCAAGCCAGTTGTGTTCTTCTTTTAATTTCAGCATCTTGATTTGGTTTTCCTAGTTTGATAACATGACCTACATACAAAATCTAGACGTAATTAATTATGCGAGGGAAAATGGGGTGGAAATTCTATGTCTTCCACCTCATTGCACGCATCATCTACTGGCCTTTGATGTTGCATTTATGAAGCCATTGAGTGCATATTATGACGATAAAGTAAAAAAATGACTTAGAACACATCTTGGACGAGTAGTAATATTTCAGTTAATTTCATCCTTATTCAGTGCATACATATTTAAGAGCAGCTATACTGGCTACTGCGATAAATGGTTTTGAAGCAATCGGCGTGTGGCCTGTGGCTATGACCGATTTTTCTGAAGCATACTTTGTGTCATCAGCTACAACTGATATAGAAATTGACCCCAGTATACCTGAAAATCAAGTATATTCTATTGTACAATTCATTAGAGGAAATACTCCCGAGCCTCGGCTAAGGTTGCCCATTAGAGGGACGCCCGAGTCTCAACCAGGATCCTCCAAAGAAAGTGACTCTAGAAGTTAGTAAGTCCCAAAGCTATAGTAGCAGTGTCTAATGTAAATCAATCCCAGAAACTCGTTTCAAAAAAAGGCATAACCGCCATTTTTACGTCTTCGCCTTGCAGAACGGAGATTTGGCACAGAAAAAAAAACGCAGGCTATGAAAGTGAAAATCAGCAAAAAGATAGATAGCCGATGATGAAATTAAATCACAGATGGGTAAAAAATCGAAATTGAAAAAATAAAAAAAAAATAGAGTCAGATTTAGAAGGCGAAGATAGTGACACGGACTGTGATTTTATTCAAGTTCAAGTAGACAGAACCATGGATAAGCTGTTCTAGTTGCCATAAATGGACTGATTTATATAGGATGAGCTAATGATAATGAAGCAGTACTTATATACCTACAAATTTTGTTAATAGGTTTTTCTTCGTTTTAATTTCGTTTATATTAATAATTAGTTAAGTACTACTATAACAATGTATTACCTTATTTCAAGACTTTGAAAGTTGCAGATCTGTTTTAAATCATTATTTAAACCTTAAGTACCCCATTTTGTCCACCTTCCCCTACTAAATTAGGTATGGCAAGCTGACACTGGATCCTATTTAGTGGAATAATTTTATTACGGAAATTAACTTTCTTACCTACATCTTATGTTGCACAGTAATATTTTCGTTATCAGGATAATCAAAAACAGTCGTATATTCATGGAATATACTGTACATTATCGTATTGAAATTATAATATAAACGCTGCTAGGTATTAATAACAAAAAGACATTCTTATAAAAGGTTAAAAACAAAAAAGCTTACTCAATGACCAAGAGATAAAAGACAAATTGTACCTTGTGACATGGTATTTGGATCTTTTTGCTCATGCTCTAGAAGTTTCTTGTTAATTAATGTTCTGTCATTTTTAACTTTTAAGTCTACATTATCATCGATATTCAAATTCTGTCCATCGTTGTCTTTGAGATATCTTTGTGCTTCTATGTTGCCAATTTCTTGTATTTGTTTATCTTTTGAAGCCAATTTTTGTACAATACCATTTACTTCGCTAACTTTTATCATAAAATTATTAAACTCTTCATCTTTACAAAGATATTCTGAATTGTAAAATTTTGACATCTTAGAAATGACCTTTAAAAATCTCCTTTAATAACAAAACTTCGACTTGGGGTCTTGAAATTATTTTAAATTGATTGATCAATATGACAATGCAAAACAGCAGAACGAAAGCGACACCTTTAGTTCATTTCTAAAATAATTACAGAGAGCTGATGTCAAGTTGAGGATATTGCTCATAGGTGAAGGTTATTATTCTGTGGAGGCTTATTTACAGAGTATTTAAAAGTGCATAGAAAGAAGTAGATAAATATTACGATTAGTAGGTATAAAAATAAAAAAAAGTTTATTTGCTTTGTTAGGAATAGATGAATCCTTAAAAACAAAAATAATTTGTTCTAAATCACCGTTAAATATAAATTACGCCAGCATATGGTACATTTTGAAAATGTGAATTAATAAAAATTACAAAAAGGATTATTTACACTAATAACACATAGAAAAATAAATTCCGTTTGAAATAGTATAAATTCCCCATTTAAAATTGATGGCCTTTATCAGAAGGGTTTTAGAATGATTTTGACTTATATAAATTATATTTGAAATAAAATAACTAATAAATAAGAGTTTCCTAATCAAAAAACCATAATATAGGCGCATGTCGCTTACAAGTCTATAAGCATTTCTGATTGGTTTGAAACTGTTGGTACTATTGTCATAGTTGCCATGTGTAATTTTTGGTTAATATCACAAAGTTTTCAATAATGCAAACAAACCTAGAATATCATGAATAAGATAATACTATTTAATTATTTATTGTAATCCATGAAAAACAAAGTATCAAACAACAACAGCTCAATTTTTTTTCCGGTCGTGTGAAGTGTTTTTAGGCGTCCCTGTACCGAAATATTTTGAAGCTATATTCTTTCGGTAATATTAACTTAAGTTTAACTTAGTGAACGTTATTTATTCATATCTCTATCATTTTATATATTAATTTAAATCATTCTCTTCAAAATAATCATTGAATTTTAAAACAGTTTTTATAGAGATTACTGTTTTGAAATTTGGCAACACTGTCTGTCATTGTCAGTTACACTTTCAAATAAAAAATATACATCAGGTCAACGGTTTACGGTTTTATTACAATATTTGTTCAAGGAGTTTAAAAATGTTAAACTGAATAAGTTTATAATAGTTTTTGTTAAAATGGAGCACCACAAAGATCCTATAAGTGTTCGTATTGCTAGAATAAACTCAGAAATTTTAGGAACTGCAACCAAATTAAATGAACCAAACCTTTTATCACGAGAAACTCTTTTGGATGTGTTACAAGCTTTGTACGAAGAATGCTGTTTAGAAAGTCTTCAGAAATATGATACTAATATCGAGCACTTTGTAGAAAGGTACAAAGAAACTATTAAACATGTCAAAAGACTAAGGGTTAATATTACAGATTTTGAAATAAAAAATGTGATTGGAAGGGGACATTTTGGAGAAGTACATCTAGTAAAAGAGAAGCAAACAGGTAAATAATATGTCGATAATTAATAAGATTATGTAAATAATTTATATAAAAACAAATTAAAAAAACCAAAACAGTCTCTTGGTTTCAAAACTGCTTTTTCTTTTTGCGAGATACTGATATGTGTTAACTTATTTTTGGTCACCTTAGATCTTGTGGTTTTATTGTTTTTTAAGTTAGTAGTGAAAGAAGTTGCATGTGGCTGTGCTACATATGAGATTTTATATAAGTTCATATGGGCATCTTGAAAACAAGTTGTTTCTGTTTACCTTAAGAAGAGGTGGACGACGTGTTAGAGAAGTTTTATTAGATTGAAGAGCACGCAGACACACCTGTTCTTTCTAACTCTATTTCTTAAAAAAAAAAAAATAAAAAAAATTTTAGATTCTGTTCCTATCAGCATGAGATGCCTTTCTGACAAAAGGAACATTTTCTCTAAAAATTGGAAAACTATTCAAATTTCTATAATGAATATAAAAGGGTGATTGATGAATATTATTAATCATGCAAAAGTAATTCCTCCCTCCCTGTATGATAATGTTGAAAAAAAATCGAAATATTTTATACTGCATCACTTTGTAAATATGGAAGAGGCGGTATCTAGAAAGTTGCGCTAAATCTAAATCGGGATATTCATTAAATGATTTGAGATACAAGTGGTTCAGGTCCAAGATAAGTTATTTTACATTATTTGGTGGTATTAAATGTTTAAATTAATTTTGACCACTTACATAAAAATGATAAAAACATTTTATAGAGAAATTCGCCTAAGGATGAATTGAAGTCCATCTAATTATTGCATCATAGTTTCGGACAAAATTGTTCTCCTATTTAGCTACATGCGTCCTTAAGGATATAGCCAACTGACACTCGCCACTAACGCTATACAGCCCCAAACAGGCATGGATGATATCCTAGGTGAAACATATAACTTTTCCGATTTAAAAACGCTCCATAGGGTATTTAATGAAATATTGAGCCAACACAGGTTTTGAGTGCACAAATGGTCATCTAATTCTTCTTGTTTCTTAGAAGATATTTCTGAGAAAAACGACCTAGAACTTTACCTAAATTTTGATAATGCACCCTGTAACCTTTTGGGAACCAAATGGTATCCTGAAACAGATAATTTTAAAAACTTGCTAATCTGGATTTTATTTAAAAAGACATACTTTTGAAATGGCAGAAATTTAAACAAATAGTAGATATTAAAATTTCGTGATTTATTTAATGATTTAATTGCCTTGAGTATTGACTTGCATTGTTCTATGATATAAGCGAAATGGCATATGCAGCTTGAATATACATACTATTCCTAAACCTAAATTAATCCCTATGGAGCATTTGGTTAAGTTAAGCTGAAAATTAATTCTATAAATGCTTGGTCAGATTCCTAAATAGCGCTGAGTTTGATCCAACATCCTGCTAATAATTACTTTCGTCCCCAATCATGTTACCAATATTCAAATCCCTAGCACTGAGATTGAATGGAGACATATTCATTTAGGTTTTAAGATCCTGAATATTTGTGCAACCCTTCCATTTCCCTTTCATCATAATACATTCTCATAACTGAAAAATTTACCAGAGGTAAAGAAAATCTCTCTGGTAACTGTTACTCTGAACCCTTGACCTGGATTACTATATTTTCACAATTTCCAAACTACTTATTACTGGCTTATTTAGATTTTCATTATATATATATATACATATATATATATATATATATATATATATATATATATATATATATATATATATATATATATATATATTAGCAGTAATATTTAGTGTTAAGGAGGTGTAAAAGAAACTCAATTATTGTTAATTTTTTTTACTAATAATTAGCTCATTTACCTACTAAATAAACTAAATAAATTGCATATATATATATATATATATATATATATATATATATATATATATATATATATATATATATATATATGTTGAGAATTTAAAACTTGTTGTTTCGGTACCCATTTTGGAGCCATTATCAAGAGGGACATGGTTCCGTTTGAATTCGAAGTCTCAATCTGCCTACTCCCCTCACTCGTGATGTATATGATATATACGTTGAGAATTTAAAACTTGACGTTTCAGTACCCATTTTGGAGCCATTATCAAGAGGGACATGGTTCTGTTCGAGTTCGAAGTCTCAATCTGCCTACTTCTCTCACTCGTGATGTACCAGTATCTTGTTCTGTAGAAATACAAGAACCGTCAAATGGTACTGAGGTCTCAATATGCCTACTCCTCAATATCCGATTCAGCTAACAAAGCTCTGTCAAACGGCTTAAATTTTTCTGTCACTCCTCTTTCCATCCCAATTGAGAAAATCATTTTTCAAACTGACTTCAAAATTAGTTTGTTTAAAAAACAACTAAAAAATATCTTACAATAAGTTGGTTATACATCTGTATTATTCTTATATGTTTGTATTATTCTGAGGTGTTTGTTATTTTAATAATTTATTGTTGTTAAGGTGTAACTTTTTAAAACTTGTGATTGTTATTTTAATAATATATTGTTTTTAAGATGTAACTTTGTAAAAATTGTAAGTAAATGGATGCCGTATATAAATAAATAAATAAAAAAGCTATTTCTCATCCTCCAAACACCCACTGTCAAATATCAGTCTTTCAGAAAGATGTGCCCTCAAAGAACTTTATAACAACCCTACATTGCCGTCCTTCCGACTGACAAAGGTAATGCCACCGTAATGGGTGCCGAAACGTCGAGCACCCATTACGGTGGCATCAATTCGAGATTTATACATAATACTAGGAATATAGATGAAAAGATTCATGGCCAGTTTTCTTGAAGTGAGTGATATTTCTAACGCAAATGATTTTGATATTAGAAAGATTCAGCCACATTATTTTGCAAAAGATATTGCATATTAAAAAATCAGCCAGTTTTAAACAAAAACTTCTCCTCATTTCAAACATCAATCCTTTTTTTGATTTATTGAATATTCTTCATGTTCGATGCTGCTTGCAAAACAGAGATACATATTATTATGATCAAAAATTTCTGATATTATTGTCCGCAAATGTTATTAGTTTAGTTATTGAAAAGGAACGTTGCCGGTTGGGATACAGTGGTCCCCAAAATATTTTAGGAAAGTTGAGATTAAAATATTGGTTGCCAAGTAGCATTAAATATGCAAAGCATATAATTAAAAAATGCATTACCTGTTATCGGTTTAATGCACAAAGTGCTTCAAAAATTGTGTCACAGCTTCCTTTTGACTGGGTTCGTATCTCCCTCGCTTTTTATACAATAGGTGTATAAATAAATAATATATAAATATAAATAATAGTATAACAAAATGTTATTTTGCTATTTTTGTTTGTGTGGCTACTAAAGCCATCCATATAGAGTTGATGACCTATCTATTGTCAACTGCCAATAGTTGGCAGATCATTGGCAATTATCAAACAATTCATTTCTCGTCGATGTATTTTAAGCCAGAATTCGACGATGTTAGAGCTTATTTATCAAAATCTGAGATGCAATGGAGATTCATTCCTCCTTGATCTCCTTATTGGGATGGGCTTTGGGAATCTCGCTAAAAAGTGTTGCTTTTCACGTTGGAAACATTTGTAGACAAGATTTTTTTAAATTTGATAACATGGCATATTGATTCATAAAAAATCTGATGAAATTTGATTCAATGTTAGCTAATTCCTAATCAATTTTATTAAAATATTACTGAAAATTTTATGTATTTTATTCTTTCAGGTGATGTATATGCAATGAAAACAATGAAAAAATTTGGCAATGATATCAACAGAACTAACTTTAAAGAGGAAAGGAATATAATGGCCTTTACCAACTCTTCTTGGTTAACTTCTTTGCAGTATGCTTTCCAAGACAGTACATATTTGGTATACATTATGGAATATCACCCTGGTGGTGACCTACTAGGACTATTATACAGACAGGGTGGGACTTTGCCAGAAAGTGCGGCTACCTTTTATTTAGCTGAAGTGGTACAGTATATTATTTAGTATTGCAAAAGTACTGTTTAATTTGTGTTTTAACTTTTTATCATATGTTCTCTATTTGTTAAAGATTCTAGCATTAGAAGATCTGCATTTGATGGGATATGTTCATAGAGATATAAAACCGGACAATATTCTCTTAGATCGATGTGGGCATATTAAATTAGCTGATTTTGGATCTGCTGCCAAATTAAATAAAAATGGTTTAGTAACTACTGGACCTCCTGTTGGAACACCCGATTATGTCGCACCTGAAGTTTTGCAGTGTTTAGATGAGAAAACTGACCAACATGGATATGGAGTAAGTAACATACCAGAAAGTTAAAAACTGTTTATACAGGGTGGTCTTTAAGTAATTTTACAAAAATAAATAGTAGATTCTACACTTTAAAATATTACAATTTTGTTAAAACTTAAAATACTACAGTGTTAAATTTAAAATATAAAATTTTATTTTTCGCTAAACTGTCATGTTTGTGGACATTTATGTATAAAAATTTATAACTGGGGGTTATAGAGGGCACCACATAGGTATGTGAGATACATTTGCGCTTAACTTTTTGTTCTTTAAGTTAGCGCTATTTATGTCAAAAATATTAAAGATACTGTTCGTTGCAAGATATTTCGGATTTAATCTTCTAAACTCGGATTCACCAGTAGATTTCAGCGTTGGCTCTTACAGACAATGTTCATCAAATGGAAGAAAACTCTGCAGCGTTGCTAGTTTATCGTCGGCCTTAACGTGGCAGAGCCGGCTTCGAACTTAACACTCCCTTACACACGGAGCACTTGCAATTTTGCACTAACTTTCTCTGATTTGCCCTAATGACTGTTCCAAAAAATATTCGGACGTCGTCGTAATATAATGCTCAACAATTGATAAGGATCATAATTATGATTTCAAACATTTTAAAAGTTTGTTGAGATCCTAGTATGACGACTTAAATAGAATAAATGAAAATATACGACTTTAATATTTAACTTTTTGCTGGCACGGAGAGAAAATTTCTTATATCTCTTTTTGTCATATTTACGGAACTGGGTGTTTGGAGACCTTTTGTGGAGATACCTTAGCACAAACTACGAAGATTTACTAATCACATGCTATGATTTTTGTGACTGATATTTTTAAGTTAAAGTTGATTTCATATCATTGAATGAACTATCTTTCAATAAAATCCTTGCATCCTTATTGGTAATATCATTTTGATGTCTTCTACTTTAAAATGTTTAATATGTCTGATTTGCTGATATGAATGAGTCAGATTAAATTTAATTATTAGAAGAATTTTTTTACTAACAACAAAATTTTTGTAATTGATTAATATTTTGTTTTTCGATAGCGACCTCTGAAGTGAAATTCGTAGAATTCGTAGAATAGCTTACTGACTAATGGGCGTTTGTAGAAATGGTTTAACCGTGTAGAAATTTCGGTATTGTTGTAATTAAATACCCATTTAGAATTTTCTGATAATAGTATCTACTAATTGTTATATGAGTGCTTATATCTATTGCAGTTTGTAGAAACGGTTTAACTGTTTTGTGTGTGCATTCGAGAAGGTACATTAACTTGTCCAAAATAAGTGCAATTTTATATACTGTGTCAAAAACATGGAGCATTTAGAGGTGAAAAGTTTCAAACAAGGACAAATCTTAGATTAATATGCACCACAAATTATTTCGAATATGTTGATATATACAACAAAAACAAATTCCGATCTGACTATAACACAAATTGTTTCTACAACAAGTACAGCGCTGGGTGTTAGCGATAGGACAGTCTGGAAAATTGGTCAGGAAGGATTTGAAAAATAAAGGTTTGTTTATGAAAAAGGATAAAAGAAAGCAGTAATGATGGAACGTCCTGACATAATAAATTGGAGGCATAAATTTCTTAGAAAAATACAGAGTTATCGAAATCAAGGATACAATATTTTCTATTTGGATGAAAGTTGGGTAAATATCGGACATACAGTAAATAAGGTATGGATGGATTCAACCATAACTAGTTATAAGGATGCATTTTAAAAAGGCTTGACTACTGGTCTAAGTAATCTAAAACGAAGAGCTCCGAGATTTGTCTTGTTACATGTTGGATCTGATAGAGGTTTTCTACCAAATTCAGAATGTGTATTTTTAGCAAAAAAAGATTCAGGCGACTTCCGTGACGAAATGAACGGCGAGTCTTTCGAAGACTGGTTTGAAAATAAACTAATCGCAAACCTCCCAAAAGGAGAAAAAATTTAGTGGTAATGGATAATGCTTCATAATATTCATGCAAACAAAATTTCACAAGAAGCTCCTGAAACAAACAACAAATTGTAGAATGGTTACGAGAGAAGGATATATTTTATGAAGAAGATTATTTAAAGTCAAAACTATTGGATGTAGCAAACAGTTATGCAGATATTTACGACAAGTATAACATAGAAACTTTGGTCGAGAAATACGGCGTAGAAGTATTACGATTGCCTTCGTATCACTGTGAGCTTAATTCAATAGAGATGGTTTGGAGCGAAGTTAAACATTACGTTGCAGCCCGAAACACTGACTTTAAAAAAGATCGTGTGCAACAACTCATCCATGAAGCGTTTGCCAATGTCTCTGCTGAACAGTGACAGAATTATATACAGCATGTCATCAGAATTAAAAAAGAAATGTGGATAGCTGACAACCCAAGAAGATATACTACCGGTGATTATCACAGCCGAAACCGGCAGTTCCAGTAAGGACGATTTTTCCGAAATGGAGTAGAGACCAGACACTGTTATTGTAAGTCTACATAATTTTTTATTCTGTTAGCGTAATATTATTCTTTCGTGTATACACACTTTTTTGTAATAATTGTTGAGACTGTTAATAGTAATAATTGATCCAAATTGGTATATATCCTGTCGGTATATAAATTAACAATTTAAATTTGTAGCCACTACGGAGCTACGAATTTTTTTTTGTAGCAGTTTCCCTAGTAGACTTCGTTCTGTCCCTGTATAATTTAGTAAAAAGATTTCAAAGAAAATAGTTTTATTAAATTTTGTGTAATTTGGAAAATCTTGAAGGTGCAAATAATTTTACATTTACTTCTAATAGGATATTATGATATAATGTTATCGTACAGAAGAGCCAACGCGGTCCTGTATCACACCTGCAGACTATGAACATGCCTAGCGGCCTAAGCGGCAACGTCGCTTCTCATAAGCACTGTACTGAAATCCTCTCGTGAATTTGTCTACAGGTATAGTTGTATACAGGGTTGGACTTACATACTGATACATTTTATCAAAATTGCGGCAATCCCACAAAGTAAAAGAAAAACGCATATAAGTAATACTTTTATATTAACATATATATTTATCAATGAAAAAAATACAAAAAAAAAATAATATTAAACTTAACTATCGTCTACATTTAAATCGGTGTCACTATCATCGCTATCGTTTAAATATATAACTACTTTATTTATAATGTTTTGGAACTGTAAGTATTTTCTTCTAGTTTTTTAACATGTTCTATACATTTTTCCTAATTATCCGCTATAATATTATTACATTCGTTCTTAATTAATTCTACAACAGTCGAAAATGATTTAGGGGAATTATTATTTTTCCTCACATTACTTTTTAATTGAGACCACAATTCTATTGGATTCAGTACACAATAGTAGGGATGTAATCTTAATAGTTTATGGCCATAATTCTCAGCTAGACTGTCGATAACATAATTTTTTTCACATTTTTTTTTTCTAATTTTAATAGTTCTACAAGTTGTTTTTTTTGTGTAAGAATCCATAAATATATTTCATGTTTTGATAAAAATTCTTGAATTTCAGCTTTGTTTGAAGTAGTATTTGGAATTTTACTTTTTAGTCTACAATGATACGGAGAATTATCCAAAATAATAACGCTATTTCTTCTGAATCTACTTTGTAAACTAATATGCGAAAAAAATAGTTTAAACTAGTGATAAACACAAATAAAACGATTCACATCAGACTGTTGAAAGCAATGACGGCCATTGTGGATTTCTCGAGTCATGTGATCACAATACACCATTCTCATTGGCTGTTGGGCAGATGTCCGTTTTTGAAATAAACCTTCATAGCAGGAGTCCGTTTTCGAAACATACCTTCGACTGTGAAGTTGAAAATAACGTATTCGCGTCCGTGTTGGAAGAAAACTATTATCACCGTTGAAAAAACATGAACAGTTCTATGAGAAACCACTACTAACTAAATTTTTATTTTTTTGACACATGTCCGTCTTTGATGCCACTCAAATACTGCAGCAGTTTATTTTGAACCAATGATGCTATTTAATATGTGACAATCTTTTATAGAACATATTAATAAATGCACGAAAGAGAATAGTGGATATAACGAACACTTAATTACTTTGACAAAAAGTTTAATGTTATCCGGTGTAACTATATCTTAATTTGGTTTGTAAATAAAATGAATTTTACTTGACTGCAATTTAATAGAAAACGTAAATTGTTTGAGTCAACAAAATGATACTGATTTACTTAATGTACAAAAAATATTAGCGTATACTACTTTTCCGTTAACATATCGGAAACTATTAACTTTTGTTAAAGGTATTTCATACCAAAACCCAAATTCCGAAGTATTGAGATATTTTAGCTATTTTTCCTTCGTTGCTTGCAGTGATTGCTTAAATCAGAGTTATGCAGCTGATTTGTAAAACGCGATAAACTCGAAAACTGTTAATTTTTGAAATTATTAACAATTGTATATATTTTTTTGTTGAAATAATGTATATTAATATTTTGAGACACAAATAGCGTTAACTTAAAAAGCAAAAAAGGTATTGCAAGTTTATGTCACATATGTAGGACACCTAAAGTCAACCATATCGTATGACTGCCATGCATTAGATCGTAGGCGTCAAACATTATTTTTGGACACTACCAAATGACTCCAAAAACATATGGTACCCATCCACTACACTTGTACAATCTGGTATATGGCTCTATAATTCTATAAATGAATGAAAATGTACAATAAGCCAATTGGCTACAGTACGGGCAAATTATAACAGACCTCCTCCGAAAAAAAAAACATGACATCAGTACCAGTTACAGTGAATCTTTCCATCACCCCTATCATAACATACATTTTTTTTTCAAGTAAAGATTTGCAATTTGTCCTGTTTGGACAATATGTAATCAAATTTGATAATTTGAACAAAGAAATTAACATAAACGAAAAATACCTGCCGGTGCTGATACCTTCCTTTTAAAAAAAAAATTTTCTTATATTCTAAAAAATTCACTAATGAAAATCTATCTGGTAAGTCCAAGTGTTTGTGTCTCTAAGTATCTAAGTTTTTATAATAACAAATATTTAAATAAAAATTTGGAACTTTTGTTAAATCACTTTGAGTCAACTGAAAAAAATGTTTTACTAACATTAATTTAAAATTAATCATGTAAAATTAAAGAAAAAAGAAGTAGAGTAATAGCAAATATAATAAAATCAAATATTTTAAACTGCATTTTAAAAAGTATTACTAAAGGTGTTTACCTATGAAATATATCATCATAATATGTCGAATAATAAATATTTGGTTGTTCTTTTAGGTTTCTTGCGATTTTTGGTCCCTTGGAATTCTTGCCTACGAGCTTACTATAGGAAGAACACCTTTTACAGGCCAAAATATGACTTCCATATTTTCAAAAATAATGAATCACAACAATTCTTTGATATTTCCATCCGACTTTGTTGTCAGTCAAGCTTATACATCATTAGTAAAAAAATTATTAACAGATCAAAATTCTAGATTGAACTTAACTCAAATTAAAGAACATGCTTTATTTAAAGATATATCTTTCGATACTTTGAGAGAGCAAGTGCCTCCTTTCGTGCCTAAAATAACATCTTTAGAAGACACTAGCAATTTTACAGATGTACAAAGCAAAAAGAAAAACCCTAACATGGATTCATTTAAAAAACGAAACCAATTTTCTGGCAGGAACCTACCATTTGTTGGTTTTACATTCACCCATGATTCTGATTGTTGCGAACGAACCTTTGAAAGAAAAATTTTAACCAAAGATGGGATTGTAGATGGTTTAAAAAACAAAATTGATACACTTACAAAAAAATTAGTAACCTGGGAAACATTTGAGAATGAAAAACAGACTCTGGAGTTTAAACAAGAGGAACTAGAGAGAAAGTTAGGGAGTATTCAAAATTTAAGGGATAGATTGGAGAGGGAGCTAGCTGGTAGTCTGGCAGAATGTACGGTAAGTATTAGAATACATTTTTTATAATTATTCTTTAATATGTTGTCGCATATATGATAAAGTTTGTCGAATCACTAATTTCGCCCCATTTGTGCTCAATAGAAATGCCAAATTATTGTTCTATTTTACAGTAATTTTTTTGAAACAATTAAAGGGTAAAACCCTCCGTTAAGGTAGGCAGAATTCCCTCACTGCTAGAATTAATTTTTTTTCGTATTTTTATGTTCTATTTGATTAAAACATAAGGCTCAGCGCAATTTTAGCCCGCTAATTTTTTTATAGAGCTCATAACTTGTTTTGCAGATGGCTTCAAGTTCGATTTTGTTTTATTTAGTGTATTTGACCAAGAATTGTATCTGATTTTTTTCAGATTTTTCATAAGAAGCTTCATCTCCAGACACCCGAAAAAATGTTTTTATGGGTTCTGGGGGATTTTATTCATTTTATAGAATTCAAAATATATCAAATCACCTAAAAAACAGGTTTTCGAATTTTTGAAGATATCGCACTATACCAACATAGTTTTTTGGGGGGTTTAAAGGCGTTTCGCCCAATTTTTGAATCTCATAAAGACGTATATATAACCTATATTTAAAATGTATATATAACCTATAAAAAACCTTGATTTGATCTATTTTGAAGTCTATAGAATGGAGAAAATCCCCAGAAAACCTCTAAAAAACTGTTTTTCGGATTTTTGAAAATGGTGCAGCATAGGGAAAAATCTGAAAAAAATTATAGATATAATTTTTGATCCAATACACAAAATAAAAAAGAAGTTAGACCTACAGCCACCTCAGAAAAAAGTTATACACTTTTTTCGAAAAAAAAAAAAAAATGTTACAGATTTATAAAAAAAATAGACAGGCTTTGTAAAAGCTTCAACTAGGCCTGTGATTTTTTTGAAGTTTCTAAATTAATTGCATTCCACCTAAAAAAAACTAAAAACGAAAAATTCACGTTTTTGGGGGAGGCAGGGGGTGGCAGGCTAAAATTACGCTAAACACTATTTTTAATCACATAGAACTTAAAAAAAAATTAAAAATAACTCAAGTCAAAGATGACTTGAGGAATCTAGGGGTCAGAAATTGGAAAGACAGTGCGAAAGATAGGGGGGAATGGAGACTAATTCTTGAACAGGCCAAGACCCACCCAGGGGTGTAGAGCCAAAGATGATGATGATAATAAAAATTCACATCTCAAAGAAAATGTTTAGAAGGAGATTGCCCCAAAAATTGAACACAATCTTTTTATCAATGTTTCATAAGATCCTTCTTCCAGTCTTGTGCAGGATTTCTCTTAACGCAATAATACAATAACAAATCGTCTTCTTGTAGTAAAACTTGCAATATTTTGTAATCTATATTTTTTTCTATAATACCCAACCTTAACTGCTTTATGCCACCACGTGACTGAATTAGCTGCTTTTGAAATCAATACGACAGCAACTGCTGCCCGACGGCAACTGCAACTGCCGTCTGCAGTTTGTGTTTGGCGTTTGCAGTCATTGTTGGAATCATACCTTTATATAGTCAATCTTGGTGCGCTTCTCTCCAACGGTCCTTGACAGCGCTTCTTGTGATTGACCTGTCCGTGTATAGGTAGGAGGAGTCCTACTAGTTGGTCTTTTGGTCTGATTTATTTTTGTCTTCGTCTTTAGCACCGTTTTCCATGTTGTTGGAATCCTTTGAGCATCATCTCTTTGGTTTAGACTGTTCTAAAAAGAGAATTCTAAAATAATTTATTACTTACGTTATCAAGACCTACATATGAAATAAGCATGGAGTGTGTTGTAGTAAATTTTGTAATAGATCTGAAAACAATTATATTTCCGTTAATAATATTGTCAGGTCTTTTGTTAAAAGTAGGTAAAGGTAGTTAAAGGTAGTAGTCTAAACTGTCTAAACAGCTTACTTCAAGCACCAGCAAGAAGCATTACTATCCGACTTGGTAATGGCAAGTGCAATCTTGCCGAAACGTCGTGGAAACAATGGTTTTTCGAAAAAAAAAAAACAAAATTGTTCAACGCAGAATCAAACCCGAAAAACTACAGAAAGTATATATATATATATATAATATATATTATCGGTAAAAGCTTACGGTCGGTATGGACCTTACGTGAGATGTAGTGAGAAACACTTGTTTAAAAAGAGAGAGGTATATTAGGTCCGCCCTTTATATCGCCGAAAATGAAATTCAACGTTGCCAAACTTATTGGCTTTATTTGACCTGTTGTCTTTTTAGCATTTGAACAATGTTCTAAGATAATCAAATTTGGGCGAAATGGATTTAAATGGCAGCTTACTGTTTTTTATTGGGAATATGCTACAATTTTACTTTACAATAAATGTAATTTTGATTTCCACTTCGGAAATCCTTTTATATAAATAAAATTTATTAATGTTTCGTATTTTAAGTACGATTTCCGAATTAAAAATCTAAACATCAAAATAAACTTATTTTAAAGCACATTGTGCCATATTCCAATTAAAAATAATAAACTGCATATGATGCCACAATAAACAAAAGCTTCATACAAAATTATTTGGCAACGTCTCGTCTCCCGATCTCTTGATTCGTCAAACCACCGAATCAAAGTAAGGATAGAGGTGGGTCGTTGACGTTTTTATCGTAAACCGATTTTAACAAATTACTATGGCTGTTTAACAGTAGTTTCAAATCAGAGAGTACCTAAATAAACAAACATAATGGCTATTATCGTTTATGTGTATATTTATTGAAGTGAAAGAAACCAATGAAGGATATATTTATTATAACTTGAAAAATAAACTAAACAATACAACCCGATATTAGTAATTGTATTACGTCGGGTACTATGGATGTAAGGTTACCGTTTGCTAAAATTTGATTCCAAGATACTTGCAGGCAGCGTACCATAACAATCACTGAACTATCCTTCAAGTATTTTTAGCCACTCATTGTACTTGTTATTTCTTTAAAAGGCCGTAAAATTTGGGAAAGTTGAGAACAAATAATCCAGTCTTCATTATTTAGATTTGGTCAAGTCTAAGGTTGTATTAACTAAGACAGACATTCTTTTTAACATGTAATAGGTGAAGTTCTACCTAGTTTCCACGTCTTGGATTGGCCGTTTGGGAACTTTTTTATATTGTAATTGATACTTTAAAAGCTTTTCTGAAGATAAGGTACTTTTTTGAAATGTGTTTTTTGCCGAATTGTCGAAAAAAAAGTCTTTTTATTTTATCTATTCTTTAATATCTAACGTATAAGCAACACATTTTAAATGTTTTTTATCCAAAACATCTTTAATAGCTTTGACCATATTTGAGGCATTATCAGTTACTGCAAAATACTGTAAGTTACTGTAAAATCCAAGAAAAAGAATTCTTAATTGAATATTTACAATAAATAAATCCTTTGACGAACTATCAATAAAGATTTGAAATCGAAAATGCAGATCAATCGTAAATCGAAACTCACTCATTAATCAGAATACCTAGTTATAAAAAAACAAAAGAAAGAGTTAAAAAGCTGGTTACTTCTATAAAAAAAAAAAACGAAAAAGAAGATTGCACTGTTGAAAATCAACCAGTACAAGAAAAAGAAACTAATAAAGATGACTTAAGTCCATGGTGTATTTTTGATGAATTAATTGGACATGACTCTAAACATACACCTGTATCGAGAGATATAAAAGAAGTCGACATGTACATATTTGTCTGATGATTTATTACCCACAAAAAATTTATTTTTATATCCATGGTAACTTAACCACTATATTCATAAAATATTGTAGTATTGTAACAAAATCTGTTACTTGTGAACACATGTTCAAATTCTGGTTTAATTCTAAATAAAAGAAGAACACGGTTAACAAGAAGAGTGGAAAAACTTTTTTTTAATGTCAATTTAGACGATTCGCGATTAAATAATGTGTAATGTAAATGTAAGTACTATTTGTATTGTTTAATTCATTTATTACATATTAAGTTAATATGTTTGTTAGTGTACTCGCTTATTTGAAACTACGGGTAAACAATCAACTAGTTACAGTTTACGAAAAACAGTTTCGATAAAAATGTCAACGACCCATCTCTAGTTTTTTAGGTATATTAGGATCGGAACCGGAGTGTAAAATATCTCTGATCGGAACTAATCGTCTCACTAATGCGCAATGGGCGTCCATAAGAAATATGGAGGGGAGACCAAGGGGAAATATGATTGTTATCTTTGTTTATTCGCTGAAAATATGATTTTATATCATATTTTAAATTTTACCATACCGACCATAAACTTTTACCTACACTTTATATATATACGCAATTAATTAAAAATAAATACTTTATTTGGTGTATCTGAAGCCAATTCCAAATATAATTATTAAATTTGGTGAATATCAAAATAAATATACCACTTTTTTTCAAGGCTCTCAAGAGAACTTTGGAACTGGAACGTAAAGATCGGGTGGAGCTGGAAAAAAAGGCCTTGGACCTTATCAAATCAGCAAAAATAAAATGGGAAACAGCGGAGAAACTGAAAGTTGAATCTCTTACTCTTGAAATTGAACAACAAAAAGAAAAGATATCAGAACTAACAACCACAAACAAAATGCTGAATGAACAACTTCAACATGCTCTGAAATTAGAGAACAGACATAAAGAATCTTTAGAAAAGGTCGAATTGCTTAGCAGAAGAAGTGTTGTTGGACTAGAATCCAGATTAGACAGAGTAACGAGTGAAACACAGGGTACTATAACAGAATTACAAAAAAAATTAACCGAAGAAGTACACAAGAATAATATTCTAGAAATCAAATTGTTGGATATGAAAGATAAAGATAAAATACTACGAGAAAAACTGAAATGTTCTGAAAAAGAATATGTGACTTGGAAAGAATTAATTGATGAAGCTGAATCACAAATTAGAAACTTAAATGAAAAAATTAATATTTTAGGTGAGTATTATAGTTATTTGTATTAATTGAATGTACGATACACCCAAAGCAACATCTAGCACAATCACAACAAAAGAGTCGTTTTAAAGTATAAACTGCTTGCTAGTTTTTACTTAATTTTATCCACACTCATAATTTTTGACGCCCTAAATCACAGCTAATGGGAAAAATTCAACAAGCTACGCATTCACACTAGCTAAATTTGAAATATTTTTGGAAATACTATAGTGCTCTGCTTCTCAACTACCTTAATTATAAATATTCTAAATTGTTACTGTGTGCTAAGTAATATTTACTTTTTAAATGTTTAAATATTGAAAATGATAATACACTATTACAATAATTATAAATTTTAACTGTTTTCAAAAATTGACTCTGATTATAGTAGTGAGTACATGGCTAAGAGAAATCGGATCGTAAGTCGCTTTTATGAATATAAAATAACTGCAATCAAGTTGAATTTTAGTAAATACAATGGAATTGTTATATTTCGCGGCATAATTACCTGGTAAGAAATATTCAAATTAAAATAATTTTATTATGTCTATTACATTAATTAGGGGAGACCGGGAGAGTTCGGACACAGGGAGACATCGGACACATTTGAATTTCGCACATTTTTGAAGATGCACTGTTGTCATTTGGTAAACACAACCTTATTTGTACATAATTATAGGTTATGTATTGACAGCTGTGATTTCGGTCGTAGTCACAGAGTTATCTATTGTGAAGTGTTTTGTCGAGTTTTGTTCTAAAAATATCGGTGCAATCCAGAAGATATATTTTAAAATACATAGACTTACCACGTATAAAACTTTGGTGCTGTAATCTACTATACTTATTTCATTAATTTGCGTTTATGTTGTTGCAATATTTAGGTAAGTTTTTTTATAAACCCATTGTATTACCAATGTTTGCATTAGGGGAGAGTTCGGACACAGTGTCCGAACTCTCCCCTGTGTGTCCCAAGTCTCCCCTGATCTGTAGTTATTCTATTTTTCTCTTACAGCTCATAATGCCCCGTACATATACAAGGGTAACAGAACGACAATTTTCTGCAGACACTATGAAAAATGCCACATCAGAGGTGCTTGACGGCAAATTAAGCATTCGGAATAGCGCCAAAACCTACGGCGTTCCTAAATCTAGTCTTCTAGATTACATAAAGAAAGCTAGAGCTGTGGGTATAGACAACGTAACATTCTCTCCAAATTTCAAGCAATCTCAAGTGTTTACCGATATAATGGAAAAAATGCTTGAAAAATATTTATTAGATTGTTCTTCCATGTTTCATGGACTAACGCCTAAAGCTGCAAGACGTTTAGCTTTTGAATTTGCCAAGAAAAACCATGTTAAAATGCCTACTACATGGAGCGAAAATGAAGAAGCTGGAACAGACTGGTTTTCAGGTTTCATGAAACGTCATCCTGTACTATCTATTAGAACACCTGAAGCCACTAGTCTCGCTAGAATGACGAGTTTTAACAAAGTTACTGTTGAGACGTTTCAAAATAAATTAGAAGAAGTTTTACGTCGTCATTCTTTTGGATCTTCAGCGATTTTCAATTTAGATGAAGTGAGTCAATTAACAATTTTGTTTAGTTATTTTGATAATTAATATCACTTATTTTTTAGACTGGGGTTACTACAGTTCAGCGTGTACCTAAAATAATTGGAAGAAAAGGTCAACATCAAATAGGGCAGGTGACCTCACGTGAACGTGGAGAATTAGTTACACAAGTGGGCATAATTTCTGCTGATGGAAAAGCATTGCCTCGTATATGGGTATTCCCACGGCAACGTTTTGATGAAAACCGCATGATGAAAGGGGTTCCTCAAGTTGCTTTAGGATTAGTATCTCCTTCAGGATGGATGACAAGTGATAATTTTTTGAAAGTACTTAAACATGTTGTCAAAAATACACTCTGCTCTGATACTAATAAAATTTTACTAATCATGGATAACCACGAGTCCCATCTCTCAGTGGAGGGACTTGATTACTGCAAAGAAAATGGAATTACTGTTTTGACACTACCACCTCATACTTCTAATAAGTTACAACCTTTGGACCGAACAGTGTTTGGTCCTTTCAAAAAGTTTTTTAATGATGGTGCTAATTCCTGGATGTTGTCTAATCCTGGTCAGACACTTTCTATATATGACTTGCCTGCTATTTGTTCTTCTGCTTGGGACAGAGCTGCCAATCCAGTTAATATTAAAAGTGGTTTCAAGTGTACAGGTATTTGGCCTTTTGACAGGAATATATTCGGAGAAGAAGAGTTCTTATCTTCTTACGTGACAGATAGACCAATGCCTACTACAGAACCGGAACTCGGAAAAAGAGATTTTGATAGCTTGTCCAAACCGGGGCCAAGCAAAGTTTTAGTTTCTCCGAGTCACTCAACTTCTCCAAACATCATTTCTCCAGAAATGGTTAGACCGTTTCCCAAGGCGCCAGAACGTAAAACATCAAATAGAGGCAGGCCTAAGGGCAAATGTATCATTGCCACGGATACTCCAGAAAAAGACGAAATTGCCAACAGGAAACTAAAACGATCTGTTACAAGGAAAGTAAATCCTAAAAAAAGACAGAAAGTCACTAAAAAAATTGTTGAAACATCTTCTTCTTCTTCCTCTGAAGACATAATGAGCAATGACAAATCCTCTGACTTCATAGAGCAAGATGACGAAGTGGATACAGAAGAAACAAATATTGCAAATGGTCAGTTTATAATTGCCAGAGTTTATGGAAAAACACCAGCTACATTTCGGCACTATGTTGCAGAAATTCAGGAAAAACAGATAAAAGGATACGACGTAAAATTTTATAAAAAACATGCCACTTCTAATCGGTTTATCTCCACTGAAGAAGATGCTTTTGTTATATTTGAAGACATAAAATGTATTTTACCGAAGCCCTTGAAAGATACACGTCAAAGATATGAAAATATGATCTATTTTAATACAGATTTAGAAGATTATTCATTGCATTAATTTTTTAATATCTAAACATGTCTATTTTTTTTTTAAATACATTTTTATAAGTAACATATGTTGTACTGTCCGAAGTCTCCCAGTACTGTCCGAAGTCTCCCAGTTCCTAGTCCGAAGTCTCCCCGTTTCTGGGGAGACTTCGGACAAATGACCCCCTGCAATATTTTTTTATTTTTGTTGTTAATTTATTGATTTGATATATTCTGCTCTTGATTGGTTATGCCTGAACCTTGGTAGCTTAAGTTAACTACTTTAAAAGGTAAATATATCAATACACTTTTCTAATAAAAATTAATTTTTAAAAATGGTCCGAACTCTCCCCGTCTCCCCTACCTAATTGTAAAGGAGGGTCGGGACACCTTGGGCACCTATTGTTAAAGTATTAAAAGATTTGTATTTATTGGGTACATCCATAGATCTGAGCGAAGTGTACCGCCAATCAAGGAGTGGGGGCTGCAGTCTTAATCGGATATTAGATTGATACCGCCTTCTCCACTATTATTTAACTTTGGCAATAAATTGCAAATATAGCGCCTCTGTACTGTTCCTGAGTGTGTTTTATGCTGAGTACAATAGTTTTGAGTAATTTTTAATAGAAAACGCCAGTGCACATTCATCTAGACACGATCATGTTTATAGTTGATTTTTAACTCTTGAAAACATGCATTTTTTTTTATACCGGACGAAAAAGTACGACTTTACGCCACCAAAATTAGAGCGTTAAGTGCGGAATTTATGCCCAGTGTCATAAGTGAAAAATAAGAAGATAGCAAAAAATAGTAAAAGGTTGAAGTAAAAGTACAATACAAAAAAAATTATAAAAAATGCCTTTTATAATTTTGTTTTGTCAGTTCAAAATTCAACCTAGCAGAATTATTGACATGAATGCAAGAATAGGACGAGAGCGAGTTTTTATGCCGACTATAGGCAGGCATAGCCTACACAACATCAGTAGCGATAACGGATTACGACTGATAAACTTAGCAGCAGCACTGAATATGACCGTCGCTAGCACCTATTTTGAACATAAGAATATACACAAGGTAACCTGGACCTCCCCTGATAAGAACAACTAGTCAGATTGATCACATCTTAATAGATTCAAGACACGGAACGGACATAATGAACTGCAGAAGTTATAGAGGCGCAAACATAGACTCAGACCACTGTTTAGTGATCTCAACACTAAGGGCTAGAATTTCAAATTCCAACAAAGAAAAAAAATAGATACAAAGAAATGGAATGTACCGAAGCTGAGAGATGCAACTGCTGCAAAACAGTACTGGGAAAATATTACCAATAGGTTAAGAAATCAAAGTCCAAGCGAAGAAGACCAGAGAGATATAGATTCCTACTTTAAACACGATAAAGAAAGATATTGAGTCAGCAGCAAAAGAAAAAATAGGAACAGAAACTTGTACCCGAAAAAATTACTTGTTTGACGATGAATGCAAAGACGCAACACAGAAAAAAAATGAAGCTTATGCAAAAATGCTTACCCGCCGGACTAGAACAAGTGTAGAGAATTACCAGACAAAGAGAAAAGAAGAAAAGAAAATACACAGAATGAAGAAACGAAACCACTTAAAAACGGAACTTCAATATATAGAAAACCTCAACAGAGAGAAAGAATTCAGAACATTCTATAAGAAAGTTAACATCAACAGAAAAGAATTCAAGGCAAACACAAATCAATGTAGAAGTTTGAATGGCGATCTATTAACAACAAGAACAGACGTACTAAATCGATGGACGGAATATTTTAACCAGATACTTAATATAGAGGAAGAAGAAGAAAATTCGGAAGACGAAAGCTGTGAGGTAAGCGGAGTAGACGAGAGGGAGGAGAGTCCACCAACGATCCTGGAAGTTAAAGACGCTGTCAATAAACTAGCCAGAAACAAATCACCCGGAATAGATAATCTTCCAGCAGAATTACATAAAAGAAGGTGGCCACGATATCATAATAGCGCTACAGCAGCTTATAAAAGAAATATGGATACAGA